TCTGTGCTCCCTCTGTGTTCTCTCTGTGTTCCCTCTGTGCTCTCTCTGTGTTCCCTCTGTGCTCCCTCTGTGTTCTCTCTGTGCTCCCTCTGTTCTCCCTCTGTGCTCTCTCTGTGTTCCCTCTGTGCTCCCTCTGTGCTCCCTCTGTGTTCTCTCTGTGCTCCCTCATTGTTCTCTCTGTGCTCCCTCTGTGCTCCCTCTGTGTTCTCTCTGTGTTCTCTCTGTTCTCCCTCTGTGCTCCCTCTGTGTTCTCTCTGTGCTCCCTCTGTGCTCTCTCTGTGTTCCCTCTGTGCTCCCTCTGTGTTCTCTCTGTGCTCCCTCTGTGTTCTCTCTGTGCTCCCTCTGTTCTCCCTCTGTGCTCTCTCTGTGTTCCCTCTGTGTTCTCTCTGTGCTCCCTCTGTGCTCCCTCTGTGCTCCCTCTGTGTTCTCTCTGTGCTCCCTCTGTTCTCCCTCTGTGTTCTCTCTGTGCTCCCTCTGTGCTCCCTCTGTGTTCTCTCTGTGCTCCCTCTGTGCTCTCTCTGTGCTCCCTCTGTGCTCCCTCTGTGGTCTCTCTGTGCTCCCTCTGTGCTCGCTCTGTGTTCTCTCTGTGCTCCCTCTGTGCTCCCTCTGTGCTCTCTCTGTGCTCCCTCTGTGTTCTCTCTGTGTTCTCTCTGTTCTCCCTCTGTGCTCCCTCTGTGTTCTCTCTGTGCTCCCTCTGTGCTCTCTCTGTGTTCCCTCTGTGCTCCCTCTGTGTTCTCTCTGTGCTCCCTCATTGTTCTCTCTGTGCTCCCTCTGTGTTCTCTCTGTGCTCCCTCTGTGTTCTCTCTGTGTTCTCTCTGTGTTCTCTCTGTGCTCCCTCTGTGCTCCCTCTGTGCTCCCTCTGTGTTCTCTCTGTGCTCCCTCTGTTCTCCCTCTGTGTTCTCTCTGTGCTCCCTCTGTGCTCCCTCTGTGTTCTCTCTGTGCTCCCTCTGTGCTCTCTCTGTGCTCCCTCTGTGCTCCCTCTGTGTTCTCTCTGTGCTCCCTCTGTGCTCCCTCTGTGTTCTCTCTGTGCTCCCTCTGTGCTCCCTCTGTGTTCTCTCTGTGCTCCCTCTGTGCTCTCTCTGTGTTCCCTCTGTGCTCCCTCTGTGCTCCCTCATTGTTCTCTCTGTGCTCCCTCTGTGTTCTCTCTGTGCTCCCTCTGTGTTCTCTCTGTGCTCCCTCTGTGCTCCCTCTGTGTTCTCTCTGTGCTCCCTCTGTGGTCTCTCTGTGCTCCCTCTGTGCTCCCTCTGTGCTCCCTCTGTGCTCCCTCTGTGCTCCCTCTGTGCTCCCTCTGTGCTCCTCCTTTCAGCCCATGGTCCTGCTCCTCCTGGTCCTGCTCCTCCTGGTCCTGCTCCTCCTGGTCCTCCTCTCCTCTCTCTCATACGCTGTCATCTTTAAGTTAGCCTTTCTGTTTGCACTGATCTTCCTCCTCTAGACCAGTCCTCATCGTGTTGTTGTCACGTTGACCCTGTTTATATCAAGGCTGCGCAACATGATTCTTTTGGAGATAATGGTAAATGTTTGTATGTAATATTTTTATAGATCGGATTTGGTTTCTGACTCTGGGCAACAATTAGTGACTGACATTTTCCCCAATGAATTTGATTAGTGTGTAGCTCTAAATCACAACAGCAGTCGTCTCAGAGGAGTTTACAAAGATTCGTTAACAACAGATCTGAGAATCAAACCGTTTGAAAACAGGAAATGCACAAATAACAAAGACATAGAAGCTGTTGGTCCATGAGGAGCAGGACGACCACTGTACAGAAATGTTGCTTTGTCCTGAATCATAACTGTCCTTATGGTGCTTTCAGACCGCCAACGCTGAAATGCTGAAGCCCCGCTCAACAGACGCACATTCTCTAGTTTTCAGGACTTCACACCAGAACGTCCTGACGCGAGCCGGAAGTACCGGAAGTAGCCGGCCGGCTCTAATGCTAACAGAGCTATGCTAGCGGCTTCTTGTGTACGGATCTTCTCCAATATGCAGCTTTGCAGCGTGTCTTTGAACAGAGACTTTCCACGGGCTTTATACAACAGTAGTATGTGTTCACGGAGGTGCGCAATAAGTTTATTTTATTATTAAACGGGAATTTCCGAATCGGCGAAAACACTCAAAGCAGTTGCATAAGGTCACGGGAGCATGACAACGCATATGTTCACAAGCACAGAGTCCCCCATTGTCAGCCCTGATTTAGTCCTGGTTTAGTCCTGGTTTAGTCCCGGTTTAGTCCCGGTTTAGTCCTGATTTAGTCCTGGTTTAGTCCTGGTTTAGTCCCGGTTTAGTCCCGGTTTAGTCCTGGTTTAGTCCTGGTTTAGTCCCGGTTTAGTCCTGGTTTAGTCCTGGTTTAGTCCCGGTTTAGTCCTGGTTTAGTGCCGGTTTAGTCCTGGTTTAGTCCTGGTTTAGTCCCGGTTTAGTCCCGGTTTAGTCCTGGTTTAGTGCCGGTTTAGTCCCGGTTTAGTCCTGGTATAGCTCCTGTTTTGGCTGTTTACAGTATGTTCAGTCTGCTCGCTCAGTCCGCTAATGTCCCTGTGACCACTTTGCTGCTCTCTGATTGGTCGCTGCACAAACGTCCCGAGGAAAGGATGAGCAGAATCCATCTCCTGTGGGCGTTCATTTTCCGCTCCTGCTCCTCCCCTTTGACTTTCCCGCGCAGACCTCGCGTCTCTACTGAACAGTCCGTGTGTACATTCCGAGACGTCCGTGCGTTGTGACGCTAAAACGTGCGTCACCATTGACTTTGCATTGAAAGCCGACGCAGCATGATCCGGTCTGAAAGCACCATTAGACCCTCCTGCATCAGCAAGGAACCATAAAAACAGTGGGAACAAATTAAGAAACCTCCGGAAAGCCCACATTGAGAGCTCCTACAGACAGATGTAGACCCAGGACTGAGGCTGTAGACCCAGGACTGAGGCTGTAGACCCAGGACTGAGGCTGTAGACCCAGGACTGAGACTGTAGATCCAGGACTGAGGCTGTAGATCCAGGACTGAGGCTGTAGACCCAGGACTGAGGCTGTAGATCCAGGACTGAGGCTGTAGATCCAGGACTGAGGCTGTAGATCCAGGACTGAGGCTGTAGACCCAGGACTGAGGCTGTAGATCCAGGACTGAGGCTGTAGATCCAGGACTGAGGCTGTAGATCCAGGACTGAGGCTCAATTTTAGGATCTCACACAAACACAATGCACTTGCCTCAGTCCTGGATCTAAACGTCTCCTAGAGGGGATCAATGAAGTATCTATCTCTCTATCGATCTACCTTTTACTAGGTACCCAGGGGCCCTATAGCGCCATCCAGAGGGTTAAGGTTAGAACCTTAGTCCAAAGTACAGGGTTTGAAAAGGGGTTTGCTGAAGACCTTATCAAACCAGAAAGTTACATCCAGGACATATTTTACAGCGTTTTCCATTTCTCCAAACGTACGTTTTGCGCAGCCTTGTTCAACCCCATCCTGTGCATCCTGTGCGTTCATCCTTGGTTCCCGTGTCCGGCCTCACTCGTCCCTCACTGTTGTGTCTTCTGTGTGTGTGTGTGTGTGTGTGTGTGTTCTGTCCACTCCATACACACCTCCTCACCCTCCTCACCCTCCTCACCCCTCCTCACCCCTCCCACCACAGTCCTGTTCGAGGGACGAGCTGGAGTGGCGTCTAGCTCAGGAGAGATCTGCCCCGGGACTTTCTAAATACCACCGGGGAATGGCCTTAAGAGCAGAGGTTAGTGCTGAGTTTGCTCTCCCACACATGTGTGTAGACGGCTAATGCTAACATGCTAGCTCTATATAGACTGTATATATATGGACTAACATGCTAGCTCTATATAGACTGTATATTAATGGACAATGCTAACCCGCTATCTCTATATAACCTGTATATAGAACTATTTCTGTCACACTTAAAAAATTCATGGTTTTGCGTAAGGATAATCCCATTGTTTTGTTTTTTTATTATGTTTTTGTACTTCCTGTTATAAGTCATGGAAACAGGCCGTAGGTATATTCACTATTATGATTACACATCAGTTAAAACGCCACATCTCAAATTCACCCATGCTCCATTCATGTTGTAATTAAATCAGAGGCCGGTTTATCGTCCGCTAAGTCCCGCCATGACTCTGCAGTTTCATCCAATCATAATCCAGCATAATCCCACGTTCATAACGGCGGTGTCATGGCTGCGTGTCCCACAGAGGACCGTCCACTACAGCTGTTGCATCAGCGTAAAGCAGGCGGCACGTGACCAGACCAGACCAGACCAGACCAGACCATGTGCTTAAATCTCTGAATGGAGAAAAGCTTGTTCGTGTCAGGATTACAGTACCCAGAGGTCGCCGCGGGTTTGGGCAGAAATGACAGCTCAACATAAAATCGTATTAGAGGCATATGTTTTTATTGGTCAATATAATGATAATGATAATAATAAAGAATTTGGTTTTATGGTCACTGCCCAGCACAGAACTGCTAAAAAGGATCAAATATGAGGTAATAATGGCAACACTTGAAATAAGTGGTTTTTATCTTATTTTGAGCACATTCTGATTGTCTTAAAATAGCAGTGTGTCAAAATCTGGCCAAAAGTGGTACTGCAGCCTCTCCCACTGTCCCTGACTCAGGTTGCCAGATATGCGGACGAATCCAGCTGGGACCATAACAGCTGAATAGACAAGAGTTTTGTCAACAACAAATTTCTAACCAACACCTTTTTCACAAAGATAGAAATCCTGCTTTTATTCCTTGTTTTGTCGTTAATGATTTGAGAATCATAACGAGACCTTTTTTAGTTCTGCGCCACATGGTACTTTACCAGTGAGATTAGCTCCACGCGGTGAGTTCTGGCGCCCGGTAAAACGGTGGAAGACAATAGTATATTTTATGTCACTTATCATCTCTATAGACTCTTTCAATTGGTCCATATTTAGGATATTGAAAAAGAAAGGAGAGGATTACACACAATGGTCTTTGAGAGTTGTGCGTCAGTTGTTGTGTTGTTGTGTTGTCGTCTCAGATGCGGGACTCCTCTCTCTCTGACGTTCACTTCAGGCTGAAGTCCAGCTCCGAGGACACGCCCTTCTCACAGGTACAACCCACCGGTTTATTCATTTTATTTAGTTTCATTTTGTTTTAGTTCAGTTCAGTTTATTTTCCTTCATTCGTTCATGAACTTCCCCTTCATGAGTCCATTTCTGGGTCGGGGGGTTGGGGCGGGGCAATCAGAGCTGCCCCATATTACCAGTCACTCACTGAGTGGGGTTAAGTGTCTTGCCCAGGGACACAATGGCAGCAGACATCAGTGGGAGCAGATGGAGAAGGTCTTTTGGGCGGATCAGACCCACAACTTTTTATTTGTATGCCCTATGCAGCTCTAATGAACAGCCCCTGGAGGGAAAAATAAAGTCTGAATCTGAAACAGATTCTGAATTATTTTTGACAAATGTGGGATTTTTTTTATGCCAATGTGGGATTTGAAAGTAGTGGACAAAATCCCAGAGGTGTGACCCCCGTCTCGGTTTATCGTCCTGGGGCACCTTTGATCCAGTGTCGGTGGATCAACGGTGTCTTCAGACACTATATTAGCTTCGTCCAGTCCATAATGTGGATTGGGAGAATATACCAGGACGATGGGGCTATTTTACTGTCACGCGCCCAGGAGGCCAGTCCCTGTGCTCCTCAGAATCCCAGCAGGAGTCCAGTCCCTGTGCTCCTCAGAGTCCCAGCAGGAGGCCAGTCCCTGTGCTCCTCAGAGTCCCAGCAGGAGGCCAGTCCCTGTGCTCCTCAGAGTCCCCGCAGGAGGCCAGTCCCTGTGCTCCTCAGAGTCCCAGCAGGAGGCCAGTCCCTGTGCTCCTCAGAGTCCCAGCAGGAGTCCAGTCCCTGTGCTCCTCAGAGTCCCAGCAGGAGGCCAGTCCCTGTGCTCCTCAGAGTCCCAGCAGGAGTCCAGTCCCTGTGCTCCTCAGAGTCCCAGCAGGAGTCCAGTCCCTGTGCTCCTCAGAGTCCCAGCAGGAGTCCAGTCCCTGTGCTCCCCAGAGTCCCAGCAGGAGTCCAGTCCCTGTGCTCCTCAGAGTCCCAGCAGGAGGCCAGTCCCTGTGCTCCTCAGAGTCCCAGCAGGAGGCCAGTCCCTGTGCTCCTCAGAGTCCCAGCAGGAGGCCAGTCCCTGTGCTCCTCAGAGTCCCAGCAGGAGTCCAGTCCCTGTGCTCCTCAGAGTCCCAGCAGGAGTCCAGTCCCTGTGCTCCTCAGAGTCCCAGCAGGAGGCCAGTCCCTGTGCTCCTCAGAGTCCCAGCAGGAGGCCAGTCCCTGTTATTTTCTCTCTGATTATAAAACCTTGTGCAGGAGGATGAGCGTGTGGAGGCCCAGCGGGGGGCGCTGCAGCTGCCCGGTCTGCAGCCTCACGACTCGGGCTCGTGGCTCCAGGAGAGATCGGTGCTGAACCAGGAGCTGCGTCTGTTCAGGAGAAACACCATCATCCTCTACATGAAGCTGAGGGCCACGCTGGTGCAGTGGAGGAGCAGGCACCGGGACGAGCCAGCAGAGGGCGCCACACCGGCCGAGGTACGACACATGTCCATGGGTGAGGCTGTGAGGAGGGTGAGGCTGTGAGGTGGGTGAGGCTGGGGGAGGGTGAGGCTGTGAGGAGGGTGAGGCTGGGGGAGGGTGAGGCTGTGAGGAGGGTGAGGCTGGGGGAGGGTGAGGCTGTGAGGAGGGTGAGGCTGGGGGAGGGTGAGGCTGTGAGGTGGGTGAGGCTGGGGGAGGTGGGTGAGGCTGTGAGGTGGGTGAGGCTGGGGGAGGTGGGTGAGGCTGTGAGGTGGGTGAGGCTGGGGGAGGTGGGTGAGGCTGTGAGGTGGGTGAGGCTGTGAGGCTGGGGGAGGTGGGTGAGGCTGGGGGAGGTGGGTGAGGCTGGGGGAGGTGGGTGAGGCTGTGAGGAGGGTGAGGCTGGGGGAGGTGGGTGAGGCTGGGGGAGGGTGAGACTGGGGGAGGTGGTGCGGACATGGATCTATTATAATAACTGGATAGAGTAAACTTTCCCACTCAAGCAAAAGGAGAAATATAGTGTATCTTTGTAAGGCGCTATCTCACTCTGGTCTCTCTCTGGTCTCTCTCTGGTCTCTCTCTGGTCTCTCTCTGGTCTCCCTCTGGTCTCTCTCTCTGGTCTCTCTCTGGTCTCTCTCTGGTCTCTCTCTGGTCTCACTCTGGTCTCTCTCTGGTCTCTCTCTGGTCTCTCTCTGGTCTCTCTCTGGTCTCCCTCTGGTCTCTCTCTCTGGTCTCTCTCTGGTCTCTCTCTGGTCTCTCTCTGGTCTCTCTCTGGTCTCTCTCTGGTCTCTCTCTGGTCTCCCTCTGGTCTCTCTCTGGTCTCTCTCTGGTCTCTCTCTGGTCTCTTTCTGGTCTCTCTCTCTCTAGTCTCTCTCTGGTCTCCCTCTGGTCTCCCTCTGGTCTCTCTCTGGTCTCTCTCTGGTCTCTCTCTGGTCTCTCTCTCTGGTCTCTCTCTCTGGCCTCTCTCTGGTCTCTCTCTGATCTCCCTCTGGTCTCCCTCTGGTCTCTCTGGCCACTCTCTGGTCTCCTTCTGGTCTCTCTCTGGTCTCCTTCTGGTCTCTCTCTGGCCTCTCTCTGGTCTCCCTCTGGTCTCCCTCTGGTCTCTCTCTGGTCTCACTCTGGTTTTTCACTGGTCTATGGTCTTTCTTTCCTCTCCCTCTGGTCTCACTCTGGACTCCCTCTGGTCTCTCTCTGCTCTTTCTCTGGTCTCACTCAGATCTCCCTCCGGTCTCTGTGATCTTTCTCTGGTCCAGAGGGAGACAAGAAAGAGTCCGGAGAGAGACAACAGAGAGAAAGAGACCAGAGTGAGACCAAAGTGAGACCACTGTTATCTCTCTCCGGACTCTTTCTTGTCTCCCTCTGGTCTCCCTCTAGTCTCTCTCTCTGGTCTCCCTCTGGTCTCTCTCTCTGGTCTCTCTCTCTGGTCTCTCTCTGGTCTCTCTCTGGTCTCCAGTTTCTTTCTCTGGATTCTCTCTCTGCTCTCTGGTCTCTCTATAGTCTCTTTCTCTCTCTGTTCTATTGCTGGTCTCTCTCTAGCCTCTCCCTGGTCTCCCTCTGGCCTCTCCCTGGTCTCCCTCTGGTCTCTCCCTGGTCTCCCTCTGGCCTCTCCCTGGTCACCCTCTGGTCTCCCTCTGGCCTCTCCCTGGTCTCCCTCTGGCCTCTCCCTGGCCTCTCCCTGGTCTCCCTCTGGTCTCCCTCTGGTCTCCCTCTGGTCTCCCTCTGGTCTCCCTCTGGTCTCCCTCTGGTCTCCCTCTGGCCTCTCCCTGGCCTCTCCCTGGTCTCCCTCTGGTCTCCCTCTGGTCTCTCTCTGGTCTCCCTCTGGTCTCCCTGTGGTCTCCCTCTGGTCTCACTAACGCCTGATGTGTGTGTTGTGTCCAGTGTGAGCGTCTGGAGTTGATCCCAGAGCTGAGTGCAGTGGAGCAGACAGACGCAGACACAGAGAGGGAGGAGAGGCTGAGCTCAGGGGACACAGCGCCCCCTATGGCCCCGCCCTCGCCAGACAAGCACCAGAGACAGGTACGTGGGCGGCGCAAAAACACTGACGAAGAAACAAGACGGATCACAGTACATTAAAAAGAGTAAAGTTACAGTCACTGTCTGCAGCTAAACAGAACTGTTTTTATCCTGGATTTGAACACGGTCTCACATTTTCAGGAAGACTGTTCCATGTTTTATCTGGTCCCTACGTTTAGACCATAGACTGTAAATATTAACGGACGCACTTTTCTCTCGTGCCGACCTTCTCAAAATGGCCGCGATTGGCCGCTCCAGCAGGAGGTTGGGGTGAAAAAAACCTTGCTAGTGCATGTGTTAGCTTCACTAGCAACATTAATTTGTCCAAGTCCACAGCCGCTAAACTAGACTGGCCCAAAAAATAAATCTGGGGGAGGGTGAGACTGGGGGAGGGTGAGACTGGAAGAGGGTGAGGTTGTGAGGTGGGTGAGGCTGGGGGAGGTGGTGCGGACATGGATCTATTATAATAACTGCATAGAGTATTACTAACTTTCCAAGTGTTAGCTTCACTAGCCACATTAATTTGTCCAAGTCCACAGCCGCTAAACTAGACTGGCCCAATAAATAAATCTTCCTCTCAGCATTGACAGCAGCTGGAACTTAGAGTTGGACCAAGAGCGAGTTCTGGATCATCCCAAAAAGCCGTTTTTGAGAGAAAAGAAAACGCCATTGGAATTAATTGGATAATTCTGTTTCCTGTACACCACCACCGCCGCCAAGGAGTCAGATTACAGCATGTTTTAATATGTATTTTAGTAACCTGTATATTATTATTCAAGTTTAATGATTGTATCGATAGGACCACAGATGGAAAGGAGCTGGTGCTGAATCTTACTCCACACTGTCCTTAATAAATCAAACTTGAAACTTGACCTTTTTGAGCGGTGACCCTTCCCCAATGGTTCAGTCCTGACTCTGGGGACCAGCAGGATCCCAGTCCCTGTGCTCTTCAGAGTCAGAGTCTAGTCACATGGCACCAACCTGTCAAGCACGTCACAATATTGTTAGCCTTAATGCGGAAGAGGCTGATTTGAACATAAGCTTGCTCCAGTATTAGGTTGTTTTAAGCCAAACTTCGGCCATGAGCACTTCCTTGATCCATCTGTTTACAGTCTGGTGTAATTGCACGGCTGTCTTGTAAAAGCGTATTACAGAAAGTGTCACCTTTAATTTGAAAAAGTAAAGTCGTCTTCGGAGATAGTTACAGTTACTAATGCTAATGCTAATGCTAATGCTAGCGCTAACAAGAGACAGTGGAGCTTGTTGAATTAAATATAGCTGATGGAGAGCTATGGTGGCCCTGCAGGGACATTCAGTTTGTCCAACACATGCATAGTTAATATGATTCATAAATGTGTGACTGAGATTGAACAATGGGCCAGTTTTATAATCTCAGCTCAGAGACGGGAAAAGGACCAGTCTGAATCTTTGTTATGGATGATAGAGAGAGCCCTGGGAGTCACTATTTGA